TGTAGCAGAGATAAGCGTGTTACGCTTGACCAGCGTGTAGCAGAGATAAGCGTGTAGCAGAGATAGGCGTGTTACGCGTGACCAGCGTGTAGCAGAGATAAGCGTGTTACGCTTGACCAGCGTGTAGCAGAGATAAGCGTGTTACGCGTGACCAGCGTGTAGCATAGATAAGCGTGTTACGCATGACCAGCGTGTAGCAGAGATAAGCGTGTAGCGCATGACCAGCGTGTAGCAGAGATAAGCGTGTAGCGCGTGACAAGCGTGTAGCAGAGATAAGCGTGTAGCGCATGACCAGCGTGTAGCAGAGATAAACGTGTTACGCGTGACCAGCGTGTAGCAGAGATAAGCGTGTAGCGCGCGACATGCTAGTGTGTAGTTTTATCGTTCTAGTGTCAAGATCTTACACGCAACAGACTTCCTTGTGAGTGCCGACCCTTTCCACACTACCGGGAGAATTGAGGGATGGTCAGGAGAGGGTGAGATGAAGAAGGAAGGAAAGGGAGAGATAGGATGGGTGATATAGCGTGACGGAGGATGAGAAGGAAGGTAGTTTAAAAGGATGGGTGATATAGCGTAGCGTGACGGAGGATGAGAAGGAAGGTAGTTTAAAAGGTATACATATATGACTCTTCCTGTCTGTTGAAGCTGTTAGTTGTGGGGGCCATGAGATGGATAGAAGTATAGTGCGAGTAACTGCACAACCTGCAGCTAATGTGCTGCGAGTTACCAATGTACTGTTTGCAGCGATCGTACTGCATGTCATGATACGTATCGTGCTCACTACCGTGCTGCATAACATGCTCAGTATAACGCTCAGTATCATGCTGCATGTCATGCTCAGTATCATGCTGCATGTCATGCTCAGTATCGTGCTCAGTATCATGCTGCATGTCATGCTCAGTATCATGCTACATATGCTCAGTATCATGCTGCATATCATGCTCAGTATCATGCTACATATGCTCAGTATCATGCTGCATATCATGCTCAGTATCGTGCTCAGTATCATGCTGCATAACAAGCTCAGTATAATGCTCAGTATCATGCTGCATATCATGCTCAGTATGATGCTCAGTATCATGCTCAGTATCATGCTCTGTATCATGCTGCCAGTGAATGTGAAGTCTGGCATCTCCTCAGCCGCTGCTTCATGCCCAGACATGATCTCCGTGGCCTCCATTCCACACGTACAAAGCATAATTGCTCCCAATATTTCTCAGAAAACTCTCTTATAATTCCCACAAGACATAACTTCAATCCTCGCTATACTTTAGTTTCAGACCTCGATAAGTCCTGATACTAATTCTCACGAAGTCGTTAGTGCAATTCTGCGTACTCGTGCAAATAATGACATCCTTATTCTGAATAGCACTACTTTAATACCTGTTTTCACGTTTATTTTTGGTGAGCTCGATTAAGTTCATTTAGTAGTTACTAGTACTATCACATTTCTCCAACTGGAAATTGCATGCATGTCATCGCGAGTTTAATTATTATACAGGGTGTCCGTAAAGTCTAGACACATAGTAAGTAAAGTTCTATATTTTTCAAAATAGTATTCAAAATTATTAATATATATTTTTTGCATACATATATCAATTATGGCTTTGACCAAAGAATGATGGCCCTCATATTAACGAAGTTATTTGAATAAAGTTAATAGTGAAAATAAAACTTATTTTTAATTATATACCAAAAATATTCAACTATCATAGGTGTCAATTACTTTATAGACACTCTGTATATAATTGACAACTTGCAACGCAGCTCTTAATCTCACACTGACTAATAATCTCTACATCAATTTATAGTTATGGGCTTCAACGTGTTTCTTTGCGCTGAACGCTTAACAACAAACAAGAAAATTCTAATATCAAAGTTGCCTCGAGTTATTATATCGTTAATCGATGATTTTAACAAATAATTTGGTTAATACGTTATTTAGTACTCGTATTTGATCCGTGAACTTGTCAATACAGCTTACGCGCTCTGATTGAGTTCGCTGTTCATTTTAAAGCATCGGAATCGCTCATAAACTTGGTTTATTTTCTCCGAATCGTCGCGAAGTAAATTACAAGCAAGAAAAAAGCTGCCTGAAAATGCATGCTGCTGTTCACTGACGCGCACTTCGTGCTAGCCTACTTTTTTGCCGTTTCCGAGAATGTAAAATTATTTTAGTTAAATTTTTGCAGTGTAACCTTGAGAAGCCAAGTGAACTGCGCTGTGATGTTCACTACAGTTTGCTGATCATTTGTATTATAATTTCATCGTCGGTTCTGTTCGTATCTTCGTGTTTGTTGCTGAAATCATTTAGAATTTCTGTTGCTGATCTAATTAAGTATTGATAATACTGCCATATCCTCGAACAAAGATAGGAATTGTTCAAATGATGTTAAGGCTAACAAGAGAAGCTTGTATGCTAATAATTTCGGTATTATGCGTGAGGCACACAGCAAGTGCCCGCACCACAAATGTTTTTTGTACAGTCGTTCCAGCGCCTCAGCGCAATTTCCAGGCATCGTCCAAGCAGTTAAACTTCACACAAATAATAACTTATCGCTGGTCTTGTTGTGGCCGACGATTAGCCGACCTTAATGCGGACATGGGTGTTGTTGGGTGGGAGTTGGTGGCAGGACATTCCAGGTATATGGGATCGCCTCCAGCGCATGTGTATTCCGGATACACATCAGTGTTATTCCTGGTAGTGTTCGCTGGACGGGTGTTGGGCTCCCAGTTTGGATCAGGCAGGGTCGCAACAAACACCTCTGTAATGGTACTCGCAATTAATTGCGTTAATGAAATATCTTGTAAGATTATCTAGAATTTTGCTTTGCTCCCGTCTCCATGTTTATTTGCATACATCAGCTACCAGTATGCGAGGTTCGAAACGTCCAATTTAACCCTCTACCGCCGCATGTCACTCTCCGGGAACATAACTTTCAACTTAAATTATACGTAAACTATTGAGTGTAGCAACCTGAGGACGTTTGTACGCAACAGAGAACATTTTAAAGTTGTCGTACGTGGCGGCAACCATCACTGCAAGTCATTTTGCGCTCGCTAGAACGTATCTTTTTTTTGGGAAGTAGGCTTGTGACAATATTGCTCCGGTTACTCGTGTCAGGCGGTAGAGGGTTAGCATATATGATTTGTGTGCATTGTGCGCTCCATATATTTACGTGTTGTCCCCGTATCGAGTAAAGACATGCGTGCCAAATGATATCCTCAGTACATATAATCCCCATAAAAGATTGGTGTGAAATGCTGCAGCTGTGGTCTGGGCACGTGCCCTTGTAATACCAAAACTTACTTTCGTTTCTGGTAGGAATGGCATTGTACACTTACTACACTAAAATGTACAGTGACCAGAATGCGTTCACAGGTGTTAGGATTAGCAATTTTCAAGAGCAAGAATCCTTAGGCTTGGCGCAATAAGGTAAATTTGCGTGGCATTCGGCAGGAATATCATTATTTAATACCCAAAAAAACACTTGGCTCACACCTACTTTCGACCAAATTGTGGCAGTAATATCATACAAGTATCAAATTAGTGCGTGATGTTGATGCACACGTGCGTGATGTTGATGTGCGTATTTATGCACACGATATTGAGTGCTGATTTTTTATTGGTGTGTAGAGTTAAGTAGTGTGATTTTGTATTGAGGTGCAGTGTTAATTAGTGTATTTGGTGACAGAGCGTGAGCGGTGAGCGGGCGGGTGAGAGTGCGGCCAGCAAGACAGGCTCGACAGCCTCCCTCGCGTCCCGGTCGTCGTCAGGTCCAGCGGACGGCGAGATCAACTACAAGAAGGTGAGGACCTCTGTAATATCGTCTACTAATTACTACTGAAACTATGCTACTCTTCCTACTAAAATTAGAAAAAATATAACTCAGTACCCACTGCAGTGAGTCTAAAATTAGAAAAAAAATATAGGTAACTCAGTACTCACTGCAGTGAGTGACAGAGAGCGCATTTTCTCGTCGACGAAAACGTAAAGTCACGAACAGACGGACGGACGGACAGACAAACATGGCGAGCACAATATCGCCTTTTTTCCATAAATGAGAAAATGCGCTATAAATATGAAATGTAATAAGTAAATGTGTTATTTCTCTTTGCATTTTGGATTTTCCGTGGTTTTATTCATGAGCAGTGCTCAACATCTGTGGAGGAAGCCATCACTTTACAACACTCTAACCTCCTAGACGTTCATGAGAGACGCGACTGAGTTATTTAATTGCCTCATGTCCTCACATCTTATACAATCACGTGGCCTCTTATTATTCATGTTGCGTGTTGCTTTCTTGTATCACATTAGCTCATCTTATGATACTATATGTGGCTTATGCTTATGTATGTTCATAATATGTATGTTCATAAAGAATATGTTTATTATAAGAAGGTTTATAATGAATGTGGTTATTATATGTATTTTCATGATAAGTTTGCTTATGATAAGTAACGTATGTTTATAATGAATATTTGTATGATAAGTATGCTTATGATAAGTATGTATAGTAACTAAGTCAGTGCATGTTCTGGGTCATGATGTTATACACTCTACAAACTATACTGTACACACTACACGCTCTACACACTCTACACAATACACACTCTACACAAACTATACTGTACACACTACACGCTCTACACACTCTACAAACTATACTGTACACACTACACACTCTACAAACTATACTCTACACAGTACACACTCCACACTCTACACGCTGTATTACATTGCATGTTGTCACTTCAAGACATGCTCCCTGTCGCGGCTATCAGATTACGCAGGCTTGCACCGCCGCACGCTCATCGCGGGATAGCAAAACGAAATTTTGAAAAAAGACTTATCACATTGATTTTAAAATATTTTTTAGCTAACATTCCTTTGATTATATTAATTATTACCTATTTCTTTCGAACACTTTTTAGCTAACTTTCATTTGGTTATACTATTTGATTACTAATTAAGACTTATAATTACTTATAATTACTCATCAAGACTTATTACCTAAAATTGTTAGCAAGTGATGAGTATGCTTTAGGGAGATTTATTGTAATTTAATATATATTTTAGGTTAATTGATAGTGCTTATGTTTACAATAATTTTGTTAATAAGTTGTTTTATTTGAACTTTCTTGGACAATTAATGCTAATTTATTGCTTATCTGGTTTAATTTTAACTTTTTTGCTGGGTTAAATCTAGTAAACAAGACGTTATAACATAAGTACAAGTAAAGCCAAGTAAATAAGACGTTATAACATAAGTACAAGTAAAGCCAAGTAAATAAGACGTTATAACATATAAGTACAAGTAAAGCCAAGTAAATAAGACGTTATAACATATAAGTACAAGTAAAGCCAAGTAAATAAGACGTTATAACATATAAGTACAAGTAAAGCCAAGTAAATAAGACGTTATAACATAGGTACAAGTAAAGCTAAGTAAACAAGACGGTATAACATAAGTGACATGTAAAGCTAAATAAATAAAAGGATGACGATAACTATATGGAAAGCTTGTGTAGTACCTATATAAGTACCTGTAAGTAAGTACCTATAGTACAAGGGAAGCTAAGTCAATAAAAGGATGACGTGTCCCCCGCCGTGCAGAACTCGACCAAACTGGCGACCGCGGAGGCTGACCGGCGGGAGAAGCGCGCCCTCGAGAGGAAGCTCGCAGAGATGGAGGAGGAGCTCAGGGTGAGTGATGGAGGTGTGGGGGGTAGGGTGTGTTGGTGTTGGTGTTGTGCGTGTTGATGTTGGGTGTGTTGGTGTTGGGTGTGTTGGTGTTGGGTGTGTTGGTGTTGGGAGTGTTGGTGTTGTGGGTGTGTTGGTGTTGTGCGTTTTGGTGTTGTTGGTGTGGTTGTGTTGGGTGTGTTCCTGGTCTGTATGTCTGTGTGGCCGCCTGTTCACGTGACTTGGATCGATCATGTATAGAATAACGGTATATGTGTACAATAACTGTACATGTGTACAATAACTGCACATGTGTACAATAACTGTACATGTATACAATAACTGTACATGTATACAATAACTGTACATGTGTACAATAACTACATGCTGTCTCTTATACACATCTAGATGTGTATAAGAGACAGCTGTACATATGACGTTTTGCAGCTGTACATATGACGTGTTACAGCTGTACATATGACGTGTTGCANATGTGTACAATAACTGTACATGTGTACAATAACTGCACATGTGTACAATAACTGTACATGTATACAATAACTGTACATGTATACAATAACTGTACATGTGTACAATAACTGCACATGTGTACAATAACTGTACATGTATACAATAACTGTACATGTGTACAATAACTACATGTGTACAATAACTGTACATGTGTATAATAACTACAATAACTGTACATGTATTCGCCTGTGTTCTTTAGACTTGTTGTATCGTGTGTAGTTCCGTTATGTGTGACTGTTCTCTCTTGTGTAACATTATAGGTGCATGTGCCTGTGTAATTTGTATGACGAATCACGCTTGTGTGTCTGTTAAACACGGTTATGGCTGCGGGAGTTTTATGTTTGTGTTGTCTGTATATTGTATGTTGAACTCTCAATACATTGCACTGTTTGTGCAGTGGCACTTTCCTCAGAGCAACTGATATCATTTCTGCACTATAAATGCACGGCACAATGACACCATGAGTAGCTATTGTTTTCATTGTCATTGTGATGCGTATATCATTGCATGGGGTCTTGATTCGTTGCCTTGTGTTCGCAATTGCTATTAATATTCAAGATTATGGTTGGCATATAGGCGGCCACTCAGTGAAGTAGCTGTCATACATCTGTCATGAATGATGTGTTAAATATGTTGATTGATGGTACCTACCGTTGGAGGTTGTTGAAGCATGCAACACTTTGTTGACTCTCTACGCAACATCCAACATCATCTCTCCTCTCGCTCGCTCTCTTTGATTATATGCTTCATGTCTTTCAATGTGTAATTTTTAGCGCATTTTCTCATTTATGGTAAAAAAGGCGCTATTGTGCTCGTCATGTCCGTCCGTCCGTCTGTCCGTGACTTCACGTTTTCGTCGATTTTGAGAAAATGCGCTCTCTGTCACTCACTGCAGTGAGTACTGAGTTATATTTTCTAATTTGTTCTGATGGTAAATATTACGTATGAATATTCTCTGAATACTTTATTATTTTTACGTGGTCGAGCTCGCTCTACTTCTGCTTGTACTTCGTATTCATTTCAAAACGGCTACTAATTTTCTTCATTTCCTAACCTTTTTACCTTATAATAATTCTTATATCTATATAATTCATAGTGCAATTTCATACAATGTTGTAAGTTTCCTCCGTGATGTAATGAAATATAATGACATGTATATATCGTCACTAAATATAATGACATGTATATATATCGTCATTATCGCATGCATGATGATCTTTTGTTATCGCAGAATCCTTTTGGCTCTCTATTATTATCGTCGGTTAACGTCACAGTTCTGATGCGGTTGCCCCGTGAATTCGAGTGCATTCTCATTTTTTTCACCACTGTCAAGGCTGTCAGTTGTCGCGGATGTAAATTTCTGTCATCATTATATCAGTCATGGTAGTTATATTCATAGTAATTATAGTATAGTATATTCATAGTAATCATAGTATAGTATATTCATAGTATTTTGATCATCTCCGGCTAGGTACTAGTGACTAGGTGTCAGCGGTGCTAAGGCGGTTTAAGATAACTACATGGGAAGCTAAGTAAATAAATCGATAATGTGGCTGTTTATTCATAGGTCATGACCTTACCACTGAAGTGATTTCACTATCACAGTAAATGAAGTCACCATCACAGTGACGTGTTGTTACCATCAAGATATCACCACCATAGTTAGTGACGTCACCCATCACTGGTCACTATAAAGTCATCACAGTTGTAGAGTATTTATCGCGATGATGTTGACCGCTTGTCTCGTGGGAGCAGCAGCTGCAGAAGCTGAGGGCTGAGAATGAGAAGCTGAGGGCTGAGAACCGCGCCCTCACGAGGGTTGTGTCCAAACTCACCAGCACCGCCGCCCTCGCCGTCCACGCTGCTAAATGAACCCTCACTCACACCCCTCACTCACACTCCTCACTTACACTCCTCACTTACACCCCTCACTCACACCCCTCACTCACACCCCTCACTCACACCCCTCACTCACACCCCTCACTCACACCCCTCACTCACAGCCTTACACTTCATGGCTGTTCATTGCATACGCGCTTCATTAATATGGTGACTTGATGCATTACACGTCATTAATATGGTGATGTTATGCAATACACGTCATTAATATGGTGATGTTATGCATTACACGTCAATAATAAGGTGACATGATGCATTAGTCATCACTAAAATGCACCCAGTTACATCACATAGTTACTAGCTTGCCTCTTCTCCAACATTGAACACTGCTTTGCCATACTTTCAAAAAAAGTTAAGAGATCGTAAGTTCATCAGCCAATCATTGACGGCCTTTCACGCAAAATTTGCCAATCATAGACAAGAAAATAGAGCGCAAGTACTTACGTTCACTCAGCCAGTTTTGAAAGCATGGCCCCTGGTCACCAGCCACTAGTTTGCATCCTCACTAGGAAGCTGTCACTAGTACGGGTACCATTCTATTGACCTCCTCCTATTTTAGTGACCTTAAACAACCATATTATATCTAATGCGAGGGCATTTTAGCTAAAATCCACATGTTTTGCTTGCAAAAATGCAATTAACAAATTTGTTACGATCGAAAGGCATTTACCAGTTGTTATGTTGTTATTACTCAACAAAAATTTATGGCGTAGTGAGGTTAGTTTATAGTGTATAGTTAGACTTAGGGCCACAACTAATTAAAATACTAGTGAAAAAAATCTCAAGAATTGCAGCCACTTGAACAAATAGGAAGGAAATGCTGCAAAATAAAATAAAGAGGCTGTATGTATCGGCCATTTAATTATGCTTACGAAGCTGCAAACATGCAAGCATCTTATTGATTACTTATTCCTAATATTGTTACAATACATCTGAGTCAGCTTATAAGGTAGTACAATGTACATAATTAGAGACCCTAATGGTTGACTAGGTAGCATACAGACCTCAATACAGCTGTATAGATGAGTAACACGAACACAAGTAAAAGGGGCGGTGTTGTGGCGAGTTTGGACGTGTTGCCGTGTCACCTGTCGCACTACACGCTACACGAGGTGACATTACTGTGTGTAGTGGCGTTACTTTGTAGCTCTTGTTGCTGAGCTTCTTGTTACTCGTGTTACTGAGCTTGTTACTCGTGTTAATGAGCTCTGTGTGATTTGTAACGTGTTTTGTTACCGTGTTATCGCATAGCGCACCGAGCCATGTGACGTCTGTTACCGCATGACGCACCGAGCCATGTGACGTCTGTTACCACATGACGCACCGAGCCATGTGACGTCTGTTACCACATGACGCTCCGTACACACGTCACGTGTGTTTGATCGTTCATCCATCTCTGTGTTTTGTGCCATGGTTTATTCGTTGATTTCAATTGCTTATGACGATGATTTGCAATAATTTGTCGCGTCTATTTTAGCAAACTTTTTTGCTCGACCAAGAAGCTACACTAGTGGGCACTGCATGCCTCACTAGCGGCGATACATTAAATATATCAGTAATGACCAGCAAGCTAATAATTGCAATCTTGATTTAAAAGGTATTTTTAGTCGTTTTTTTACGTGTGCATTTGTTTCCGTACTGCTTATTAATTGCAATAATGACTATAGTACAGCATACGAGAGGCTCCAAATTCGTGCAAAATAGACGTAACTAAAATTATTAAAAAATATAATGTCAATACTTCAGAACTATACTGTTCCACCGTTTTATAACGTGTCCTAACATCAACCCTTAAATATATGTTCAAAACGCAGACCGCCGTTTTAAAAACAGCAACCGTTCAGGCATCATGGCAGCTGCCGAAATTTAGGCCCTGTAAAACATCAAATTCATGGTGGGGCAGAAGTGGAAGGATGGCTATATCATCGAATCCCTGGAATAAGTTTATAACATAAGATAACATAGTGACATCGCTGAAGTGTAGGTAGGCCTGATGTGGCCTGCCGCCGATTCTTGAACTTTTCGTGCCTTGTTCACAGAAGATCTAAAATCGTGTCATTTGACCGGATCTTTTCATGACTGACGATAGTTTTAAATAGCTACTAGACTTCCACCGGGTTCGATATGGTGACATGCAGTGCCTCAAAGAAAAGATTTGAAATCCACCTTATAGCCTCGTTTCAGCCCCATCCGACTTCGTTTTATTTCCAACCCTTAAAAAGTATTGAAAGGTAGCCAGTTTCCATTAGTTGTAGAAGTAAAATGAGTTGCCTCTAGGCTGGTATCAGCTTTTACAGAAGTGTATAATAAACCTGGTTTGATCATAGATATAAAAGTAAACCTTATGAATTTGACCGTTTTTTCAAACTGTTCTTTTCCCACAAACTTTCTGAAGCCCCTTGTATTGCATTGTTGCTTGCTATTCTTCTTTATTCTTATTTATTTTATCTTGACTTTCACTACAATTCAGACTTGGGCCGTTGTAGCGATCGCGTTCGGCGTTCGGAGTGTTGCGTGGCGGGTGTGGCAGTTGTGGCTAATATTCGTGTTCTTGTGTGGCATTTCTGGCTAATATTCGTGTTCTTGTGTGGCAGTTGTGGCTAATATTCGTGTTCTTGTGACGCGCCTTATCAGTGACTGTCGCGATAGTAACGCGTCTTATCACTGACTGTCGCGATAGTGACGCGCCTTATCAGTGACTGTCGCGATAGTGACGCGCCTTATCAGTGACTGTCGCGATAGTGACGCGCCTTATCAGTGACTGTCGCGATAGTGACGCGTCTAATCAGTGACTGTCGCGATAGTGACGCGTCTTATCAGTGACTGTCGCGATAGTGACGCGTCTTATCAGTGATTATCGCGATGTCAGTAATGTGTGTAAAGATTGTGTAATGTGTGTATTTGTGTAAACATTATAATAAAGTGTCACCAGGACGGCGCTGCACTCGTTAAGCGATGTATTTATATTAACTGCCCGACTCCAGGCCGACGCTGCGAGTGTGTTAATTAAACTGATTTTTTAATTATTCAAGTACCTCAGTTCATTTTGTCATTTGGACTGCCACCGACCTATGATAGGGATTCATACATCAATGGGGTTCATCACCATTAACCCCCTCCTACAATAATGTACAAAAGCAACAACAAAAAAGAAGGTTACTTAAATTCACAACACGTACAGAAACAAGTGATCAAGTTAGCACCTGCCTATCGTCCCAGTAACTTAAGCCACGTCACATCGCTTGCTTGTCCTAAGGTCCCGTTACCAAATTACCGTTTCAAATTTTCGCTTCAAATTTCCGTTTCGAATTACAGTTTCGAATTGCTGCTTCAAATTGCCGTCTCAAAAACTGTTACAAGTTACCGTTTTCAAAGAACTTTCATAAAAGTAAAAGTTTTATCTGTATTCATTTTATGATGATTCAAAACTTCATTGATCAGGGATAGAACATTTGTACGTAAATGCAGATAAGTAAAGTTTCTTGTACCAGCCTATGAGACGACAATAGAAGTTATATGCGCTGTATGAAAGTTACACTAAAAGCTTTTAAGTTGGGATTGTAGTTACTGAAGCGTCGTGTAGTTAAGGCTGAGCTGGAGGCACACGGTTGAAGCTTGTTCAAGTTGTGTATAGCAGCGATCAGTGGCATGGCATGGCGCTTATTTCGGTCAGTTTATTCCCAAGTGTAAATCTTACTTATGTGTTGGTGTGTGGTAGGTAGTCTCCTCTAATTGTTCATAAAATATCCTTTTAATTTCATTACTAAATTTGGGTTATTTCCCTTGATTGTAATTCATCAAAAAATTCATATTCACAAAATTTTTGTAACTTCCTCATGCTTGCCCTTCTGAATTTGATACTTTTTCCCGTCTCGTCCAGAATCCAAGTCCATTTTCGTTATTGGCGGTCATGCTTTGCTGGTCATCATCTTAATGTCGTCAGTATTGACCAGTGCAAGGCATGTGCGTTAGAACTGGACCCTGTATAACTGCAGTGTTAGACTATATCATTGTTTGCTGCACTCTGTTCAAATGTAGATAAATTGTGATGGCTGAACATGTTAGTTGGCCGAACATTATTGTAAAGATGTTCATTGGTGTGAAATATTACTTTCATTCACTCTAGGATGATCGTATGTTCGTCACCTTATTTTTATTGTTTGTTTCTCTCACTTGAATGGAAATTAATTCGTCAGGCATTGTCTTATCAACGTTCTGTTGATCACTCGGTAGGGAGTTCCTTTAGAGTTTAGACGTACTGCTTCTTGCAATTGATAATATGATGTTCTCTTAACCGCGCTAGGGAGTTAAAGCGAACAAAATATTGGGGTGCTGGCAAAATGTAGACGTTTAAGAAACATTCATTGTAGAAAGTTGACCATTTTTTGACGGCACTTCCACCAAATCAAAGTTTTCTCCTTCCCGACTCATGAAATGAAAAATTTTCAAACTTTTTTAATCAATTTCATCCCATTTACTCCCTCACATCACTTCTTTAAATACACATCTCTGGAGCTTCAACTATCATGTACACTTTTGCATTACAATTAAATGTCTAGTTACATTACTATAGTAGTGATAACTTTATTCTGAATACCTTCGTTGGTAGATAGACAATTTTACGATCATAATTTGCCCGCATTTTAAATAATGTATTGATGGATTGTGTAGATATTTTCTGTGTTAATATTCTAGGCAATGGGTATGGATGTGTATGCACCATTTAAGATGGTATACTTTACAGAGGGCCATCGTGGTAGGAGGAACTAACGCAATGGTACTTCTACCATCGTGGTAGGAGGAATTAACGCAATGGTACTTCTACCATCGTGGTGGAGGAACAGAAGTGGTCCTTGCTTGTTGTAGTTGTAGCGTAGCAACCTTCGATGTTGTGATGCGCGATCATGTTCATGGCCATGAGGTGTGGTGCTGGTGATTGTGGTTAATGGTGTAATTAATTGTTCGATGGCTGA